CCTTCTAGGAGGCTGACACAGGCTGGGAGAGTGGGTTGCCTCCAGGATTAATCAAACAAAAAGGAACTGAAATGTCAAACTCAACAACTCCTGCCTTGACTGAAAAACAAAATAGATGTCGGGGGTTTTAGTTTAGTTTAAAGGCCAGAATATCTGAATGTCACCCCAGCCAGAATGGAAGCTGAAGTATCTAGTTTTAATGAATGTGCAGATGTGCCTGTTAATAATGCTCCGAGAGCAAGTAATTGGTGCTTTTTGTACGCTGCTCAGACTCCGTGTAGTAAATGGGAAGGACTGCCAAGTCCCATTTGTTACTTCCAACACGCTCTATGTTACGTCTTGTTTCTATGGCAATAATCCCAAGAAGGATTGCACGTCCATATAGATCAAGAAATAAATCTCATGGACATAGAGCTGTCTAGATGAGGAAAAGAAAAAGTTAAAATAGCTGTGAACTTACAGGACACATCCTGGCTTTGGTACAAAGTACCGAACTATTACAAAAGTAATAATTTATTTACTGCAGTCCCTCACTGTCAATGCCATTTATTATCAAATAGAAATGTATCTACTCAGGATATTGCCTGAACTTTTCCATCTCACTACATAAGAAATCTTGCTGAAATATATAGTAACGCTTCTTAAGTTACTTTTTTTTTTTTTTTTAAGTGAATAAAAACAGCTGTACAACTGTCACTGAGACATCTGTCTTGGGTAGTGTTAAGAAATCAAATTTGACTTTTTATTATCAAATTCCTGGTCTAATCTCAAGTTTTCAGATGAGGCTTTGGGCAACCTGGGCTGGTGGGAGGTGTCCCTGCCCATGGCAGGGGGTGGGACTGGATGATCTCTAAGGTCCCTTCCAACCCAAACCAGTCTGTGATTCTGTGATACCTGAGCTGGTGCCTGGTTGCCAACTTACTTGCCATGGAAGAGGACCTGAAGGTTTTAATTTCACGCCTTTTTGCTCCCTGTTAACCGATACTGCTACGTTCACAGCAGGATGAAGGCCAACTATATATAAAAACCTCTTGCACTACTAAGCTTGATAATAACTAGCATTAGTGTCTGGTAGACAGGAATTCAGGACAGGGACTTCTCTGCTTGCAACACCTAATTTCTTTTTCTGTTCATGCAGTTTCCAAAGTACCCTTTTCAAACGTACTAAATAGAAACAAGATCTTGCCTTGAAAGAGCCCAAATACGTGACTGCCTGCAGCAGGCAGAAAACAAGGTTATGCTGTCAATCACTGGCAGAATGCAGAAACAACAAGGGAGGCACTGAGAGAGGAAAACAAACAAGCAAACAACCGCAGGGAGATTTGTCTTATTGTACTGGTGGTGGCTTGGGTGATGGAAAAGGTAGGCAGCGCGGACAGAGCCAGACCCGTCTCCGAAGGGCACAGTGACAGGGTGAGAGGCAACACCCCCAGGGTGCAGAGGGGAAAATCCTCCCCTGACACTGCGGGGAAATTGGAAAAGATGTTCAATTTCCATCCTGGGAGATTTTCAAAACTCAACCAGACAAGGACCTGAGAAGCCTGAGCAAACTTTGAAGTTAGCCCTGCTTCAAGCGGGAGCTTGGACTAATGACCAGGCAGGATCCCTTCTGATTAACGTCCTTGTGATTCTAACACATATCTTTCCCAAACTGTTGGAGCATTGCCCCATTTCTGGGCTTTTTCATATAAACCATCACAAGTAAAAAGCGAGTCCAGATCATTAGATATTTGTAAAGAAGTCCATGCTGGGCATAATGGGAGCGCTGGTAGGGAGGGGATCTTAGTGAAGGGCAGACCTCCACACTCCACCATGCAAAATGTCAGGTGGCTGCATGCATACGGCATTTAGACTATCTCTGTGCTCTAAAGGACTGAGACCTGGAGATGTGAAAACGTCTCTGCACTGGATGGAAAAAGAAAATTCAAGGACAGACTGTCTCTGGGACTGGTCTCCATTTCAGAGGACCTCCCATGGCGAGAAGGCAGGGCATGTGGCTCCTTCCTTGCCTACAGAAAACCAAAGTTATAAAATGGAAAAAAAAAAAAACAGATCGGACTCAGCATTGACATCTGCACAAAGGCAACATAAAATGCTACTGAGCTGGTATGGCAGAATTTTGGATTAATTTTACCGAAATGTTATATCCACCAGCAATGGCACAGTGGTAATAACTGGAACAGGGAGTCTTCTCCTGTATTTATTGCTACCTCTTCTCTTTTTTTGCTGCTGTTCTGTTTCATCATTCATCATCCTCGGCTTTTATTGGCTATCATAAAGTGCCTTTTCTTTACATTCTTTTAATATATCTCATACATTCGTAAGACTGGAAAAGAAATTAAAAAATAATGGCAATATACTGCTTTTTAATCTTTTTCCACGGGCCAAGACAGCTCAGTATTCCAACACAGTGATGAAAACAGGCAAGCTGTAGACACTTTTCACTACAAATTATGCTGCTTACACAAAAATATTTCAGGACTTGCCTCACTGAGACAAAGCACGAAACCAAAGGTTCACCAGTGCTTGGGAGAAAAGCCACCCACAATCTCTGCACCTATCTACATCTGCAAATGCCTTAAAACCTCCGGAAAACCAGTGCCCAAACCTGGAAAACTGAGCAGGGCACGGCTTAAAGAAAGGACAGCCTAACCACACACGTAACACGGGCCCAATCTGCAGCAAGGAGACGTTCAGTGTGCTAGAGGATGGCTCACAGGCTGCCAGCGCCGCTTCCCTGGTGCCAGGCAGGTGACCTGCAGCAGAACCACGAGGATAAATACCCCAGCAGCGCTCCCCAGCTCCACCACCTGCTGGTATAAATGTCCCCATGGCAAGTACAGTTAATGCTTACATGGACACGGAATGTTCAGGAAACATTTAATGTGTTTTTCAGCGGCTTTGATGTGATAAGTGTTTTATCCTTTATCAAAAACTTAACCGCACTGTTTACTTTTGATCTTCATTTCATCTCTGCCTTCCATCTGCTCTGCCTCTCTCGAGGGAAACAAGAGCTGGTGCCACGTGATGAACGGAGCGGGGCTGCAGATTTATCTTCCCACCCCCTTAACTTTCAGATTAACAAAATAAATAAAGCCCTTCCCACTTCAGGGATGAAAGGCACAAGCTTTTGACAATCTCCCACCAG